AATAGAAAATAATACTATCATTATTTGCATCATCTATTGAAATATATATATATATATATATATATATATATATAATATCTATTATTAGATATTATCTTTCTTATGTATTTAAATTTTGGATTTAGTAATCTATATAATAGGGCTCTGTCTTGCACCTCAACCAAGGAGGTGGGAGCCTCCTTGAACTCTCAATTGGGACCAACTCCAAACCCTGCAATGATATTACTATTTAACAAAAGACAAATCACTATCAATATTTATTAATTTTATTATTATTATTCTTATCTATCTTTTATCTAATACCTATTGACATTGTATCAATAATATATTATATTGGTTTTATCTTTTTAATTGATTTTCTTTAATACACATAGAAAAAACTAAAGGTTTTTGAGAATTTTTATTTTTTAATAATATTTTATCTTCAAATATGATTTTTTATTTTTTTAATATTCCATAAAATAAGAAATTTACATATATATAATAATAAATCTAAATATTTTAGAATATTTTTTTTTAAAAAATAACTAAATATTTATAATACCAAATCATAAGTTTATTAATTTTATTAGAATAAGTTTTTTGTTCAAACCATCTAAAAAGATGTATCAAAAATTTGAATCCTTATAATTCTAAATATAGATTTATTTCTTAATAATATCAAATTAACTTCTTCAAGTTGTCATAGAATTTTATTACAATCTAATTTTTAATTGAATATAAGCTTGTAACACGTTTTCAAATCTAAGGTTTTATTTTTTTTCTTCTTTAATTTACCATTTTATTGTAATATCATATAATAAAGAAATATTTTTCTTACAAATAAAATCTTAAAGAAATGTATTTACTAAATTCAATATATGTACAGTTAAATTCTTTCATTCTTAAGATTATGTACGAATTCTAACTAATATTAATTGAGCTCTTATAGTAATAATATCTCTATTCTTCTCTAAAGTTTAAAAATAATAAAAATTAGGTTATAAATCTTTAAAAAATAAAAAACTATAATTTAAATTATTAAATCAATAATATCAAAATTAATACATCTTATTACTAAAGATTATATATATATATATATATATATAACACATTTTTGATGCCACCATTTTTTTTTTCTAATTCCACCACAATTTTTACTATTGTCACAAAAATTTGCCACCTACTCAAAATATGTTTTTTTTTCTTCTTTTATTCCAATTAAAAATTATATTCAATGAAATGATCTGAAAGTTATTTAATTATAAAAACTTGAATATTTTTCAAAGAATGAAAAAAAGTGAAAATATTATATGGAATATGTAGTAGCAATAGAAAAAATTGTAGTAAGATTAGTATTACCACTTATATATATATATATATATATATATATATATATATATATATTCATATTCATATAATATTTTTTGAATTTTTTGAGTGTAATTTTTTGTTGATTTTAATTTTTTGTTGATTTTAATTTTTTGAATTTTAAATTTTTATTTTAGTATAATATAAGTAAAATTATATCTTCTTTGATTTTATAAAAAAAAATTCTTTATTGAGGCTTATTAGATTTTGTGATTGAAATTATTATTCAATAATAGAAGTACAATTTTACACTAATTTGTATTTAGACTCAATTTTTTTTTAAATTACATAAAATTGAATAAAGATTTTTCAATGTTACTTTTATTATGTTCTTATGATACCTAATAAAATTATTTAGTTCTTCTAACATAACTTCTAAATTTATTTTAACATACACGCTTGGTTATAATAATTCCATTGAAGTAAAAAATTTAAAACAAGAAAATTCTAGAGATACTTTTGCTATTTCTTCTCAAGTGCAATTAAAGAAGCAAGGAAAATGTCACTTGGTGCCTAAAAAGAAAGTTTTTAGAAAAAGAAATTTAATTCTAATAAAAAAAAGATTTATCTATAAATATAAAGAAGAGATTTTTAAAGTGCCAGTTTGAAGAATTAAGTTCTTGAAATAACACCCCTTTTTAGCTTTTTTTTGATAGCAATAAAAACCATAAAGTAAAGAATATATATATATATATATATATATATATGAATGTAGCCAAAACAAACCATTCAAATAAAGAAATAAAAGAAGATACTATAAAAGACCATTATTTTCTTTTTTCCATCTTAATAAGTCATTGTTTAGCTTAACATCAAACAAAGAAGAAAGAAAAATGGAACTCATGACTTTAAACCGAAAAATTATAATTTAAAAAATAAAATAAAAAATAAATGAAGGATAATCACCTTGACTTTTCTTTACAAGAAACTAATCTATCTAATGGCACGTCACTAATTTTAGTATTTTAATACTAATTAACATAAGGACAACAAATTTATTCAGAAGTCTAAGTCGTATCAAAAGATTGGTACTTCCTTTTAAAGAAACTAACATAATAACATGTCTTTTGTTTAATGTAGAAAAAAGACGAAACAAGTACTAAAGAAAGAAAAGTTTAATTGTATAAGAATCAAATTCTAAGAGCATTTGGAAAATGACTTATCTGTGCGTTGATGTTGTCTCACCAAATTTGTGATTTAATATAGTGGTCTGTTTTGTTTTTCATCTTACAATGCTCTCCGAATGTACTTTCATTGTACAGCAGTCATGTAGGGGATTTCATTTTTGTAAATCAGTCTCAAATTAGTATCGACAAGTGTCATTGACACTCATTTTTTGTGCAGGATACTTTTGAACTTGAATGTGCTATTGTAGAAGCGCATACATATTAAATAAGCATATGCGCGCAAATTTCAGTAACAAAATGAAACTTTCAAGCAAACGACAACAAAGTTCATTTCAGCATGATGTTTTGGCAAAGCTATACTTGTGAGAAATTTGGCTGCCATGAAACTTGCCGCAGAGCACTCAGCGTGAATATCAGCGACCCTGTTTCTATTTCTAAGAGATATTTCTTCGAGAATTTTGGCGACCACAAAACTTTTTGTAGACCAACGTAGTGTGAATATAAGCGAGATGTTTCTGCTACAATGAAACCACTTTGTAATTCATGGCTGCTAGATCTGACAGCCCTTCATGAAAAGAGTAATACAAAATAAAACAAACACAAAAAGGACACCAACATGTCCAAACAATTCAAGTAATATGTTTCCTTGTGACCCACCTTTTTTTGCATCCTGTCGAAGATCCGACGTGGCGGTCCATCACGCATCAATATAGCTGACGTGGCACACTATGCAATGTGACTTTTGCTGACTTGGCTCAGTCCACTTGGCTTGTCATCTAGAAAGCTTGCATTGGTCGGTTGATTCCCACAGTGAGATTGCTTGTGCGATCGAAGCATTGTTCGGCAAGCAGTGTCAGATATGAACTAGCAGAAAAGATCGATGGTGATGCTGCTCATGAAGGCTAGCTGAATTCGCCGCCCTACTTGTTAAAGGTTAGTTTGAAACACGACCGAAACGTAGCAAAATGATGAAGACTGGTGGATAGTAAACTGCAATACTGGATGGCTTTCATTTTTTTACTGATGATTCCCTGGCCTCATGAGCGTCTGTCAGTGTTTACAGGATGGTAGGGGTGTACAGTGTTGTGGTTGTAGATCAGTCTAGCAAAGTGGGGGATCAGGCAGTTCACTGCTCACGAAGAAATGGCTGGATTTGCGCTTTGATGCAGGTTCGTGGACGAGGTTCGACAGGTGGAGACATTGCGACGTGAGAAAGATCCGCAGTGAAAAATTGGGAGGAGTGAAGGTTTCAGGGAGGGAAAGGACCCGGCATCTGCTCGACGACTCCGCGGCACAGGACAAAATATCGAGCCGCAGTTGGAGCCTTCCCTGGTCTAGAGAGAGTAGGTCGATGATGCCAACAATATTTTGCATCGAGCCCGGTGCATGCTGATTACTTTTCCAGCTGAAAATTGAGCTGCAGCCTCGGATCATCATCGTAACAGGACATCCTGTTCATGACATCATCACCTCGATGTCAACGGTGGCGCACCATACATGGCTGATCAGGGTTCATGTGCGAAGGATCAAACAACCATTGAACTTCGGTGAACCCATTCGGGCTGTAGTGTTTGATGCAGGCAATAAAATAAATGAAATCACCTTTACCGTTGCGTTCCAGTCGCAAGAGTCAGATTCGCGCAACACATCGATTAAGGTGCACACACCGAACAGGTGGCGTTGTGTTGTTTGTAGTTCAGTGATTTGGAAGTTTGCCCCATATCTTTGCAACCAAGGGAGTGCCACAGGATCTTCGATGAGAATGAGATAGTTTATTTTAGGCGCGGAGATCAACCAGCACGGATGTTTCAGATGTCTCATTTCGACAATATCACTTCGCGGTAACTACACTTGTGGTTTTGACCGTCAATACCACTTGTACTAATAACGGCATCCGCTGTGACAGCAGTTTGATTGAGAAAGCCTCTGATTCTCTAGGTTGCTATAGTTAGCACATCCCCGTGTGCTGCCTCTGTCGTAATAGCATAGACTACAAAGGAAAATTGTTCGATAGAGTTGCTTTCGAAGGAGAGAGGAGGAAAGAGTGTAGTAGTAGCGTTCGAGTCAGCGGGGGTGAAATTACAGGGAAGAAGTTCCAGCAGGATTTTCTGGTATAAAACACACCAGATGTGGAGGTCAGCAGATATCTCACATTCTCGGCAGCTTGCGGAATCCTGTGCGAGTCACTGTCAGTGAAGCTTCAAATTACTAATCTGTGCCCTGAGTGAGCATTGTCGAGAGAGGTCCCGATTTGCTGACGCGAGGGCGAGTTGAAGCCCATAAGGGCAAGGATTGAAGGAGAAAAAGCGGAGCCGAATGTGTGCTGCTTCTGAGGTCTGCTGAGACGTAGGTGCGGCTTTCTTCGTTGGCGGAGTGTTCATTCGGAGGTCAATCGCTTAGCTTCACGGACCGTTTGACGCTCCCTTTGTACATGCAATAAGCTTGTGCTCTTTCAAGTTTGCTTGTGCAAGGCTTTGGAGAGTAGAAGTAACTGGCAAGCGCGGGGGAGGGGGGCTGGTATGGGATGTCTTTCTATGAATACTATCCAATGTCAATAGCTGTTGAGCGAGTGTTGAATCGTCATGGAACGCGTGCGCCACTGAAGGCTCGTGAAGTTTTCCTGTACGCGTTGAACAACTTAAACTTTAGAACTCCTCGAATGCCTCATTTATCACTTTGTACAAGAACAATGTGTCCTTCGCACTAAGTAGACTTCTCAGATGCCTAGCTCGGAACAAGCTATCAAATCGACTATAGAATTCTTTTTCCAGACCAGTGTCTTTTGGGCTCACAGTCGGCATCTTGGGATCAGTGCCTTGTTCTGGTGCAAGTTTCTAGTCACTTTTGGTGCCAGGCGTTCCCTCTAAACTACTTATTCTTCTCATTCTTCTACTTCTACTTCTGTTTTTTCTTCTTTTCTTTCAATATACATATATTATATTTCTCTACCCCACTTAAGATTGCCCGGGACTCGTTCTGCCCATTTTCTTCGTTCTGGAGTGCACTTGTGTGATGCTGCCCGCAAGCTTCGAACATAGTAGAGTCAAGCAGGTGACTGGTACCGCGCCTCCTCTTGTCGTCACTTTCGATCAGAATTTATGTAGAATCTAGAGGACATTTAGCAACAGGACCTTAAGCCGTCTTCTGTACCTCACAACTGAATCTGACGTCCGGGATCTAAAGAAGTTTTGAAACTATTGATGCGTCGTAGATTCTAACTCGGCTTCATCTTCATTTCGGATAGTGCACGGTATGTCCCCGCACGCGTCGCGACTTGTTTAGAGCCGTATTGTTGAAGCTAGCAGGGACCTATTGTTTTTGTTGAGCTCAGAATTGCTCGTTCCACCTGCAGATTCCTTAGTTTGTTTGGCGTTGTGCACTGAGAAGTAAGCTCCGACTCTCCCTTCACATTGTTGCGGTCGCTTGTCCATCGTTGTAGTACTATCTAGTTCCTGATCAAAGCGTACTATTCCAAGAGCTTGGTTCGAGGGACATATTTGCATAGGAGACTTTTTAAATATGACGATTGCAGTTCGTCTTCTCCTGTGCAGGATAAACTTGTCTGCTATCTCTGGAGTCTGCAGTCTTTGGCTACCATGGCTGAGAGCACATCGACACCTGTCTCCGAGTCTGCCCTGCAGACACAGGTGCTTGCAGTGGAGGCCTGCGATTAATTCCCATATTCATTACTTCGTATTGCGTTACAGCACATCAATGGCTTTACTTTTCTGGTTTCTCGTCTGCTTTGTGACTTTCGATTGTCCGGACAGTTGGATAGGCTTTGTGTGACGGATGCCGCGCCACAACTACACCTTTTTGCTTTGTTGATAAGATGATGAATTCTGGTAGCCACTGAATTTCTGGGGTTAAGCGCAATGTCGATGAAGGGATCCTCGTCTGGAATTAGGTCACAGGAAGTATACTGACTGCATCCAGGAAGGAGTTTTGACGGTCGCCAATGTTTGAAGGTCTACGAATTAAACGTTTACATGAATGGACTTTCAGGAGCCGAGAAAATCCATTCCCATAAAGGCTTGGTACTACAATCCCAGCGATGCACCTCCGAGCGAGCCGCACCAGTACTCTCCCAACCGAGACGTGTCTACTGATCATCTTCAAAGTAAGCCTTCTTTTTTTCCTTTTTTTTAAAAAATTTGCAAAGATTTTAATACCATTTTCTGTTGAGTACAAGACAAGTCCGCCATGGAATCTGTCTGACTTAGAACGTGCATTCAGCGTAAGACCTGGGTACAGTAGCTAGTATAGTAACTGTGGGGCCTCATTAGATTGAATTTGAAAATAATTGGTGTCGTACGACCATGTTACGATCACAGCCGAATGAATTACAGGTACTGATGTCGTTTCCGTATTCCAGTTCTTTAATTAAGTTTGTAGACGTGCAAGAATCTCATTCTTTGATGACCCCTTGATCTAAACTTCCATGTCACCGTGTCTATGGCAGAACAATTCACAAATCTTTTGTGATTTATTGATTAGTAAACTGTTCCTGCCGCCCATTCTGATTTGGGGTGTGTTGAATTTGTGGCTGTTCAGAATTGGGAGTGCTCACGTGGACTCAAATTGAAACGGACCAATTTGAGAACAATAGATTTTTGAATAAAATTAAGACTGTTCGTGGGTACAACTATGAGGTGACTATCAATCTCTGACTCCCTGTCTTCTGCGTGAATCATACTTACTAATATATACGGTTCCGTTGCTATATTCCAGTGCCTGAACAATGTCACAAGTTTTGAAGGGGTACTGTATGAAAAAACTCCTCTGAGGTTACTATCTAAGCTATTTCATGCATCATGACATTGTAGGAAGTGTTAACTGTCGCCCCTGAGGCGCTCCCCAACTTCGAGGAGAACACGAAGAAGTTCTTCATGGAGCATCTCCACGATCACGAGGAGATCCGCTTCATTCTCGATGGAGTAGGTGGGTTACGCTTCAAACTATCCTTACTTCTGTTGTTAACATGGTTCTACGGATTTCGTACTCCTTGCCGACTATCTACATTTCGCTCTCACCAACATATCTTCTCTCATGAACTATGTTGGAACATCGAAATGCAGGCTATGAGGATGTGAGGGATTACGACGGACAGTGGATTCGCATAGAGATCAAGAAAGGCGACCTGATCGTGTTGCCCCCAGGAATGTATCATCGGTTCACCCTTGATAAGAACCAGTACCTCAAGGTAATCCCATTTTCGATATACTATGATGAAATTTGTTGAGCGTCACTAGCTGTGATGCACAAGCCGACTGCGTCAATGATTTGGCGTTGTTTGCTAATTCTAGTGGCTCGGGTGGCCCGCAGGCGCTTCTGTTATACCAAGGGACCCCTACCCGCATCCAGTTCGAGAAGAACCCCGAGACCGATATCATGGAAGTGCGGTAAGTTACCAGACCGCCGTCTACTTTCAAAATTCATCCGCCACCTTCCGTCGCACTTTATCGGAATATATCCAAATCCGTGTACAGTAGTTAGCTATTAATACTTTCGCGCGTGCAACACGAGGAATGTTTTACAGGCTGGACTATGTCCAATCAGTGCTGGAGCTGGAGAAGCATTCGGCACCGGAAGTGCAGGACAAAGTCTTAGCGGCTACAACGAAAGCCATGGGCGCCATAACAGTGTAAAATTCAACAATTTACTGCGAATTGGATTCCAGGTTATGTCGCATCAAGGGTCACCTCCAACTCAACTCTACGACTCCACACTCCGCCTGATTCATGGGTGGGTACAGTCGCATGCCAGCTTCCCAAGAATGACATACCAGCAACGTAGAGCTATACCTGTTGCTGCCGCTTTCTATGCCCTGTCCAGCTTCACGATCACAAATAGTTTTCGTGTAGTGAATAATAGTGGCGTCTTGTAGACCGTGTCCAAGGCTTGCTGTTCACCACACCTTCCTGTCAAGGCGAAGGATTGTGCAAGTAGATGAAACGGAGTCAGTCCCGCCAGGTGCAAATTCTGTGTGATGTGTTCACAACTACCGGTGCTCGATTGTACATAAACAATTCCACCCTCTCAAACCATGTTTTCCTTTTTGTTTGTCCTACTGGCTTCCCACCACAGATGCTTGCGAAAGTTGTGTATCGTGTCTTCGAAAGGCCACTGTCTCTCAAAAAGTACCCATCTCCACGAACCTTAGTTATGATGAATGCACCGCACCACGGGCTAGGCTCTCGCGCTTTCACGCTCGCTTTCTTTCTTCCTTTCGGAAACAACACCGAACATTGTTGAAAAGAACATAGATTGCCCAGAGCCGCCGATTGTGGAGAAATTCTAGCGTGGAATCTAGATGCCCTTCTTCTTCCTTGGAAATAGATTTGGTATCATCAAATAAATAAATAAATACATACAAAAATGTATAAATAAACTTGTAATTAAAATTTTATAAAGGCAATCTTGTAGACTTGTGGGTGCCTCCATTGCTCTTCTATTCTTTTTAGAAATTTCTACCTACCAACTCTCTTTGTATGTTGTTTCATATAGTATAATGAAATTTTAATGAATGTTTTATTATCCTCTATTGATTATTGATTGGGGTCTTTCTTTATATATATTATTGATTTTAATATAGTATTATTTTAAAAAATAGTTAACTAATGGAGTTTTTAAAATAATTACTATAGAATTTAATTTTAGCTAGTTTTAAGATAAAATATATAAATTATATAATAGATTTTTTTGGTTTTAGAAAATTCATTAATTTTTTTTAATTTGATTATTTTATTTTTGGATTTAAATAACTTATATATAATTCAATGATGTATTGAAGAAAATACCATGTTATTTATTAATGGTTTAAGTTTGAATTTTTTCTAAATCAAAAAAATTTATATGAAAGAATAAATCATGATTAAAATTCTAATTTTAATCAAAAATATAATTTTTTTAAAATCATGAAAATAATTAATAATAAAAATTCATTACATGATTTTTTATTTTATTTTTGAAAAAATATCATATATGTATCTTGAATATGTTGAAATATTAAGAATATCCATGTATTTTTTTATGATAGCAAATGTATCCTTAAATATAATAAGATGTCACCAATTTGACAAAGGCAGAATAATTCCCATGGATTCTATTAATTTTTTTTGTCTTCATATGGGACCCAAACTGCATGCCTTTATGATATCACCTATGATTAAATGTTATCTTGTTTTTTTGGCATTTTTCCTTACAAATTTTGTCTTACAAATTCTTGGCATTTAAAAATTTTCTTCTTAAAATAGTATTTTAGTACTGGGCTAAAGCAATACTTTCCCTACAGAGGTGTTGACATCCTTCAAATTGCATTCAAGTGCTTGGTTGATGTAGCACTTTTTCTATTGAAATATTTGTATCTTTTAAATTGGATTCAAGTGCTTGGTTGATATAGCACTTTTTTTATTGGAATATTTGTATCTTTCAAATTGCATACTTTTCAAAATCTCGTTGCATTGCAAACAATGAATATTTACTTTTTAATAATTAAGCATATTTACAATCTATTTGTCAGTGCTATCTAGACAAAGGCATTGGTCTTCAAAATCTATGTTGTTCCACGGTTTTAAAACCTAATTTTCCTGCCAACTCATCTTACATCTATTGCGTAGTTATACCAATACTATTTTTGCAGTTGCCATGCACCTTTTCTAAAAGGTACCAATGCTGCCTTTTAGAAAGATGACTTCTACTTACTTTGTAGGACCATAAATAAGGCAAAACAAAGTAGATTGGAAAAATAAATGATATAGGCATCTTTAGAAGGAAGTTAAGAGTAAATTCTAATAAAATTTACTTAAAAAAACTAGATATTGATAACCGGAGAGGGCTGGTTATGAACTAGGATTGAAATCAGACCCTGAGGCACAAAACCGAGTCTCAATGACGACTCCAGGGTTCTTTGGCAAATCAAAGAGTGGAGTTTGATAGCAAATTGGATAAGATTTCTATGAGCATTGGTTTTGAGTGATTTGGAGTTGTTATGACTTTGTAAGGACTTTAAAAAGTTAAGATTATTTTCAGATGACTTGGATTTTGTGAAATAAAATAGGGTTGATGTTTCTAGTAATTTCAAGAGTTTTGTAATAGATCTATATATGAAATTTTGTAGGTCAATGATCATAGGTGTGCTTAGTATGTGTTATGAATCTTAGCTCGATCTAACGGTTGAAAGAAGGATTATTGAGGTTTAAGTGAGTCAAGGTCTTAAAAAGTAGAATTTTAGGTCCAGTGAGGATTTTTAAGATTTCTTGCAATCTACTAGTTGAATTGGAGTGAAATTTGTGTGAAAGGATATTAGACTTGTTTTTCTATGTGTATGAGAAGTTTTAGATCAATCGAACAATAGGAAGAAGCGATATTGGCTCTGGGAGATTGACATCAAGGTTTGAGAAGGAGGTCGGCCAATATCCGAGTACATTTTTGAGGTTATCTTCTATTTGGTAATTCCGATCTTTTTCAAAAAAATTATAATTGTTTTCAACTTAATTTTAAAGAAGTGTGAATTTTTTTAGTTAAGATCAATGGTTCATTCATTAGTTATTGAGGTTTAATTCTATTGTAGAAATTACTAGGATTTGGTTAGGATTTGATTTAGGATTAGGATTTGGTTAGGATTTGATTAGGGTTTGGTTTAGAGTTTAGAATTAGGGTTAGGATTTAGTTAGGATTTGATTTAGGATTAGAATTTGGTTAGGATTTGGTTAGGATTTGATTTAAGATTAGGATTTGGTTTATGATTTAGAGTTTGGTTAGGGTTTGATTTAGGATTAGGATTTGGTTTAGGATTTAGGGTTTGATTTAGGGGTGGTTAGGATTTGATTTAGGGTTAGGATTTGATTTAGAATTAGGATTTGGTTTAGGGTTTAGGATTTAGGATTTGGTTAGGATTTTATTTTGGATTAGAGTTTGGTTTAGGGTTTAGGGTTTGGTTAGGATTTGATTTAGGATTAGGATTTGGTTTAGGATTTAGAAATTGGTTAGGATTTGATTTAAGGTTTAGGATTTGATTTAGGATTTAGGGTTTGATTTAGGATTTAGGATTTAAGATTTAGTTAGGTTTGATGAGGATTTGATTTAGGGTTTAGGATTTTATTTGAGATTATTTGAGATTTAAGATTTAGTTATTTTTTGGCCTAAAGTTGGAATAAAGTAAGATTTCAACTAGGATTAAATTAAGATTGAATTGAGATGTATTTGAGATATGTTTGTAATCATTCTAATATTTCTTTAAGATTTCTTATTGTTTCTTTGAAATTCCTTTGAGGTTTCTTTGAATTTGATTAAAGCTTGTTTAACATTGTTAGTATTCTATTAGAATTAGGATTTTGTTGTTGCAATTTCTATTCTACCTTCTACAGCCAAGTGCCCGAAGCATTCTCAAAGAAGACTTCACGTATTATGACAACGTTCTACCTCACGTTATGTTCTTCCATTCCAAAGTCTCTACCTTCAAAGATATATATTATTTATAATATTAGATATGTACAAATAATTGATGCTACCTAAGATGTTTCATTCCATTTTTTGTATGAATATCTAATGCCATTATATGAACCATCAACATATGATTTGAATCACACTTCACATTCTATACATCTATGGATATTATAAAGAGATAAATTAGTCATTTTTTATCTATTTAAATCTTGGGATTGCTCTTGGAAATCCTTCTTCCTATAGTGTTGTCTAGAATAATTCAAAGTCATTGATTGAAGAGATGGAAAAATCTTAGTAATTAAGAACATGTAATTTAAAGGATACAAATATTATAACAAAATATCACAAACATACATATTTATTCCAATAATTATCTAGATATTTTGAATTGATAAAAATAGATTAATTTAATAATATCTTATAGAGAAGCTTTTTAAAAGTTTTATATATATATATATATATATATATATATATATATATATAATTTTATCTCTATACATATCTATAGATGATTAATAGGTTAGAAACTTGGCTAATAAGTTAGCTATATATTACTTATATTGTTAGCTTGTAATATAAATTAATAATATAGCTTACATATAAGAAACTTGTCTTTAAGTTAAGATACATATCTTATAAATAAGACATGTGTGAGAGGTCCTATAGAACATTGCCAAGTAGTTTTTAGTTAATATATATGGAAACAAGAATGAACAAGGTTTCACTCTTGTCAATATCTTTTTAATTCTTAGTCATATTTTAAGATTTTTTAGTCTTTTTGTCTTTGATAATAGTAATTCTAATTTCAACTCTATATTAGATTTGAATAAATTTCTATTATTTTTGAATTACAAAAGAATATATTGAGTTTTTGGTTTTTGAAGATTCATATCTTTGACATCTTGACAAGAGTACTAATTTATTGTTCTTATCTTATTTTTAGAAGTAAGTGTACTATTCCACTCCTATTATTACATTTTGAAGCTTACATATTATCTACCTTCAATCTAATATTTTAGTATCTTAATAATGATATTTTCCTTAAAGAGAGTAGACTACATTTCTTTTTGAAAATTTTTATTTGATTTTAGAATTTTTGGATTATTTTCCTCTATTTTGACTTATATATTTATTTGATTTATCTATGCAAAAAAAATTATAGATGCTACTCTTAACGGAAGTAAGAATAGATTTTCAACCATTATAGATCTTTACAAGTTTGTCAACATTCTTGATATAAAAATCTCACATATCTCTAATGTCAACTATGGAAGTAGTATTCTAATGTATATAGAAGGAGTCAACAATAAAGTTCAAAGTCTAGATCAAAAAATTATGCAATTGAAAGAAACATGTAGAATAAATATACAACTAAATCTAAAAAGACTTGTTACTATAAATATAAGAAAATATCATGGAAAAATATATATATATATATATATATATATATATATATATATATATATATTTATTCTAATAATTACCTATATGATGAGATAGGAATAAATAAAAATAGATTAATTTCATAATATCTTCTAGAGAAGCTTTTCAAAAGCTTCTTAGATACAATTTTGATTTTACACATGTTTATAGTTGATTTTTAGATTAAAAACTTGATCAATA